AGTTCTTGTTCTCATTACTCCCTCGGGACCTAGAAGTTCTTCCCAAGACCCCGCCATTGAAACCCATCACCGTAGCCAGGACACGCTTTCTGTTGTAAGTGAAGAAAAAATTGGGATGTGCTGAAAGATGTGCTAACATACGCATTGAATTTTGCAGACTTGGTCCAAAAAAACGGTGAAATAGCTGATTAATAATTTTATATTGATTACCTGTTGACATAATAATTTTTTTTACTATATTGAGTTAAATAAAAATCGCTGTCACAGCCTTCCTGAGCCTTTCCTCTCTCAACTAAACGGCCCCTGGACCTGTTGGCTATGACTCGGTTTCCTGTCTCTTTGCCTTTGGCTGGCTTCCCTGGGTGTGTTCCTGTTGGTTTGTAAAAGTCAAGAACCGCCCGTGAGGCTGGGTCTGAGGCAAGTCCATGAATCCCTGGGTTTTGGAGAAGTCTCTAGTCACTACCCAAGCGTCCCCTCTACTACGCTGCCCAGCTGTGGAGAGAGTTGGTTCCAGTCCAGGTATCCGAGTCGCTCCTTCCCTGGCGGCTCCTATGAATCGCTCTTTTAGCCAATTTCAGGGCCTGAAAGCAAGAGGAACAAGCCCAACCCAGTGTTACTGAAAAGGAGATTAATTACATTTAACCGAAGGGATCGTTTGGAAAGACGAGAGCTCTGTGCGCCAGCAACCACAGGCAAATGGCACCTGCTGTTTGGGTGGCTGCCCTGCTTCCCCCGGAGCTCCCTTCTCTGCCATTGCCGCCCTGAGGCTCAGAGCGGGCCTCTGCCCACGGGGCGCACCGGCACGTCACGGCCCAGGTCATGGCCCAGGTAGCACATGCATGGATCATCCTGGCTTGTGACTCCACAAAACTTTGTGCGACTCTGGTCTTTTGGGTTTGTTTGTTTGTTTGTTGTTTTTTTAATATATTCTTATTGATTCCAGAGAGGGAGAGAGAGATAGAAACATCAATGATGAGAGAATCATTGATTGGCTGCCTCCTACATGCCTCCTATTGGGGATCAAGCCCGCAACCCCGGCATGTGCCCTGACCCAGAATCGAACCCTGACCCCCTGGTTCATAGGTCAATACTCAACCACTAAGTCATGCCGGCTGGGCATGTGTGACTCTGTTTTCCTTTCTGTAAACCTAGGGCCGTGGTCGGCAAACTGCGGCTCACGAGCCACATGCGGATCTTGGCCCCTTGAGTGTGGCTCTTCCACAAAATACCGACTTCTGCGCATGGGCCACGAAGTTTCAATCACACTGTATGTGCGCGCCCGCACATGGTATTTTGTGGTATTTTGTGAAAGAGCCACACTCAAGGGGTCAAAGAGCCGCATGTGGCTCGCGAGCCGCAGTTTGCCGACCATGGACCTAGATGACTGCCATTCAAGACAGCCACCAGCCCTCCCTTTTTGGCCAGCCTTGAGCTGATGGCAGTATTCCTCCAATTGTCAAATGCAAGGAAGGGGTCAGCGAAATCATCCATTGGCAGCTATGGTTTTCACTCTGTTGGCCATCCAAGTGGGTTAGGATAATGCTTGCTGCTCTAACAAATAAACCCCACATTGTAGCATGGCCCGGAAGTGATAGCAGCTACTTCGTCCCTGGGTTCCAGGACTGGTGCGAGGTCAGGGGAGCAGGAGGCTGTCCTTCCTGTGGTCTCTGGGCCCCAGACTGCTGGATGCTCTACCGCCTTCAACCAAGGGCTCCCAAAGGGATCTGAGGCTGGCCACCATTTCAGCCAGCCAGAGAGGAGGAGCAGCAAGAGGGGATGGGAATTGTGTTGGGACAGTCCCAGGAGTGGCACATGTTTCTGCTCATCATGCATTGGCCAGAGCAGACGTGGGCACAAGGCCACACATGACTGCAGGAGAGACTGGGAAATACAGTCCAGTTATGAACAAAGAGGAGAATATAGATTTTGGTGAGCAGAGGGCAGTCTTTGGTACACAATCCCTGTCCAAATTGCAAGCGTGGACCCTTTGAAGAGGAAGCCAAGGAAATGGGTTGAGAGCGTGGAGGAAGGGTGTGGCTGCAGGGTGGTCCACCAGTCATCTCCACTGAGAGTCCCCTCGGCCATCCCTCAAGCTGGTTCCACCTGGTGCCCTTGACTAGTTACTATGACCTTTTCCAGGGCAAAGGCAGAGGTCCTGCATTCCAAGGGCCCACACACACACTGTGCATGCTTTAAACACACCCTGGGCAGATTGTGAAATTTCACTACATTGCCCAGGCTAGCTGGAGACTTGTGGGACAAGAGAGACTGCGATTTGTAGCTCTGAGACACACCGGAACTTGGGAATGGGTTTCGGTTAACAAAGTGTGATTGATGGACAGTGTCTCGGGACTTCTGTTGACAAGACTTCAGTGGCCATTGCTCCATCGTGTCGGCTCCGTTCACGTTACCATTCCTTGGCAGAGGATCACCGCAGACTCCAGTAACTTTCAGACTCTCCGCCCGCCCAATGGGCTGTGATTATCACCTGATGCTCACGTTGAAGCCCTACTGTTTGCTGTAGGACAGCTTCCATGAGAGGGTCCCTCCTCTCAGGCAGGCCCCTGCTCACCCCACCGCGGCCCAGAATGCCCCCCACTCAACATCATTGCTCTCCAACTGCTAGAGGCTCCTGACCCAGCTTTCCTCCCTACATCTATCCCTGGAAAGGCCGCTTCTTCAGGGAGCCCCAGTCTCCTGAGAATGACAGCAGGGAAGAATTGCATTCTGGGCTGTGACTGCATCGATGCCACTTTGCAAGCTTCCTGGTTACATGCAAGGCACTGCCACCAGCAGTTCAGGCCTCTTTGCAGAGAGAGGACGTTTTTTCAAAATCACAAGTTCATGCTGATGTGATGGTGATCATATTCCACGAAGCCTCCTCTTTTGTTTTTAATCCTCACTTGAGTATGTGTTTTTATTGATTTATTTGAGAGAGAGAGAGAGAGAGAGAGAGAGAGAGAGAGAGAGAGAAACATTGATGTGAGTAACATTGATCAGTTCCCTCCCATATGCTCACCGACCGGGGATTGAACCTGAAACCTACGTATATGTGTCCTGATCAGGAATCGAACCTGTGACCTTTTGATGTACACAATCCCTGTGTTGATGTACACAACAGGACAATGTTCTAACCAACAGAGCCACTCGCCAGGGCCAAAGCCCCTCCTTTTATTATTCTCCTATAAGAACCTCTTGATTTATGTCCTTGTTTCCTTTTCACAGCTCCCAGCTTTTCCTCTCACACACAACACTAGTTTCTAAATGCCATGCTGTACGTTGTTAAACCAGACTGCGTGTTGCATGAGAATAATGCCCACAGCTCTCAAAACAGCAACATCCAAATGCCACCTTGTGGCTCCTTGCGCTCAGGATTTCTCCTGTATGACATTCTACACACCACCCGTAATTTTTAGTTATTAGAAATCTGTTACTATTTCTCTGAGCCAGGGGGCTTGCCTTTCTGATTTATTGTCCCCACTTACTCCATTTATTAACAATGGTTCACATGTCCAACTCCTTCAGGAATCTGGTAACTGGCTAAGTTCACCTGCGGTCTCCCTTTAAGGAATAACACAATGAGTATGATGTGACCTAGATAAAATAAGTATCCTTTCCTATTTACACTGGCCATCGGGGTACAGGTACACCCCTGTGCCATTCACCACCCACACCTATTGGCACAGCACGCAACACAATAAAAGCATCTTTCCCAGGCAAATCTCCTTGGATGATCTCAGGGTGTGGTGGAGATGAAACGGGGCAGGGGGAGCTTCAGGGCTGTACATAGTGACTGGAAATGACAGAGTTGAGTTGGCCCTGGGACAGCAATCCTGGGTCCCAAGAAAGGCTCTTCAGGCCTTGAAGATCTATTGGGATAGAGAACACACACACACACACACACACACACACACACACACACACGCACACACACCTGTAGGGCCACTGTCTGTGCAATGCTGTTCCTTCTGCCCAGAACACTGTCTTCTCCCCCATCTGCTCAATCTGTGAATTATCCTAATCCCGTGTATGAAGATCCCTGAGGCCATCCCCACCCCTCCCCCTCTGGTACCATTTGCCACACTTGATTGTAGTGTGTGTGTGTGTCTGTGTGTGTGTGTGTGTGCGCGCGCGTGTGGGTCTGTCTGCCTGTCTTCTCTTCTGACCCTGGGCTCTTGGGGCTCGGAAGCACTTCTTCCTTATCTTCATATCCTCAGGTTCTGACATGTGGTCAATACTCAATAAATGTTGAATGAATGACTAAAATTAGCATCCAATGCACCATAAAACCTTAATGAACCTTAAACTCGAAGTGAATCCCATCCCATGCAGAGCCTCTTCCTTGTCAATATGCAGGAGACATTGATACGCACGCTAATGATGACCATGTGTATTTCATGGGAACGTTTCCAGAAGCTACGGGCCCCGTGCCGTCATTTGCGATGGCATTGCGCTGTTCTACTGTGTTAACACGCTTCACTTTGCTGGGTCAGCCCCGCTTCTTCGGCCTTTGGGTCGTTGACAGTTTTTAGTTATTATGGGTAAGGCCGCGATAAACATGTTTTTCTTTCTTTGGGGCTAATGCCACGGGGTTTGTTACGGACGAGGAAATTACTGGGTCAGAGAGTCGAAACATCGGCGCCTCTCTCAATCATGATGCTGATTGCTTATGCAAATTGGTCCGGTCTCTCCAGAAAGGGATGCTGAAGGGCACGCATGCACTGGCTGCCAATCTTGGGTTGTATCATATTTATTTCTGTGGCTTTAATGGGCATGTAATGGGACCTGAAAGTTGCTTGCATCTAAATTTGATGTTATAGCTGGCAAGATGGCACAGGTGTCCACGCTGTGACTTACCATCTCCAGTTCCTGGTGTGCTTCTGTTTAATCTCCTGGGACCTCTTATCAGGGGACTCACACTGCAGTCCGTCTATTATCTATTTGGGGCAGAAACCAGGCCTGGGGAGGAGCATGTGACCGACATAATGAATGCCTCCGCCTTCCTTTTGATGTTTATTTATATTACATTGTGGTGCAAAAATCTTCAGTCTTATACAGCTGAACCCATACATCAGAGCTCCGATGGCATCTGTTTCTTCAACAGCAGGGAATTTATCTTATCGGCAGGTTGGCGATGCTGGTCTCTTGTCTCCCAGTCTGTCACAGATGAACCGACCGATAGGGCTGAACTTGACCGGCATGCGTTGTGAATTTAAATGAACTCTCCCCTGGCCCATTAGCCAATGGTCCTGGCAATGTTTATTAAATAACAATCTCTTTACCCAATCTGCCCCTGGGCGGGCCTACCGTGAGTTTTATCGGAGTTCAAATTCGTCTCGGGAATCTCTCTTCTAGTGACCTTTGCTGCTTGTAATTCATCAAAGGGTAATTTCAGCGATTGACACTTCACGTCTTAATCGCTCAGGAGGGATGGGCTCTCGGTGCCATTAAAAGACAAATCCTTGGACGCTCTTCACCTGGAAGGGTAAGCGTCCTGCGCCCCGAGCCGTCAGATTCTATTAGGGGACTTAAGGGATTCACACCGGCATCGCATTAACTCCATCTATTGACTTTGGGATGTAGAACATGTACTTAGGGATTACAATTAGACCAGAGCCGGAAAGCCTCCCAGACCTCGGAGCTTTAGACAAAGGAGAGGCTCATGTTTCCTTCACATGGGCCTGGCCTGGGGAGTGTCCCACAGGGTCCGGCCGTCCGGAGGCTAATTGTTTCGAGTAATGTAATGTGTCTGTGGCCTCCCCTCGCCCCGCCCCAGGAGAGTGACCCGGAATCCCGGTGAGAAGACGGAGAGAGAATCGTGACTATAATACCCCGTGAGTCCTGCAGCAAAGGCGCTGGTGGGTGGGCGGTGGTTTGGGGAGGGGATGGCAATAGAGGATTCACAGCCCCTCCAATCAGTCCAGAGTCCACAGAATATGACTCCCACCCCTTCGATGCCAATATTTCCAATCCCTCTGCCCTACTGCCTTCCAGTTGCACTCTCCAGCTTGACTTCGTTTAGCTGGACACCTTCTCCTCAGTCCGCCCTGGGCTGGTGAGAACTCCTGAAGCAAGACCACACCCCGTGCACCTCGGTGCTGGGACAGTTCACGTCTCCGAGCTCGCGGTCCTCCTCTGCTTCCGTGGTCTGCATCCCCTCCAGCCTGTCTTTCCCTCCTGCATCCTGCTTCCCTGGGAGCAGTGTCCTTGTCATGCAGGGACCTACTCCTCCAGACCCCACCCGTTTGCCTTATCCTGGGCCTCCCTGTCACACCCTCTGCACCCTCAAACTCGCCTTCTCCACTGGCTGCTTCCCTTCCACACCCACAGATTCCCTACTGTCTTCATTGTTGAAAAGCTCTTCTTCAGATGTTTCAGGACTTGCATGTTCTTCACATACTGAACACAAAACAGTGACAATGGATAAGCCATTGGGGAGGGTGCTCCTCAGCAAAGCCCTGCATTCCCTCCGGCCGTGGCCCACCTGCATCCCCCTGCATCCTCCCTCTATCCTCCCTGCATCCTGCCTACATCCCCTCTGCATCCCGCCTGCATCCCCCCTGCAATAACACATTCAAACGCTCATCCGCTCTTGCTGTCACATCCCTTCCACTGCAGCTAACCTCTCAACTCGCTATCCTAAGGACTTTGGCCGACCCCTCCACAGAAACTGCTTTTACCAATGTCACGTATGGTTTCCTCATTTCTAAGCCCCACGGGCACTTCTGAGTTCTCATCTTCTTGACTTCCCAGCACCGTGTGACAATGCTATTCCCTCCTAGTCTCTCCTTGAAACACTTTTCTCTGACTTGGGGATGGCCTCCTCTCTTGCCTCCCTCCCCCCTCCCTCCCTCCTTTCTCAATCTCATTTTTTGGGGGGGCTTCCCTTCCTCTGCCCAGGCCCCATGTGGTATTCCTCAGGGTGCTGTTGGTGGCCCCTGGGTCTCCCCACTGGACACTCTGTTCCTGGGCAGTTACTTCCATTCTCGTGGCGTCAATGTCTCTCTATGTGTGCATGACTTTCCAGTTACCTCTCCAGGCCGAGGGCGTCTCTCTCCTGAGTTTTAGAGCCTTGCGATGATCTCTGAACCCAGTTTCTGCATATGAACTTGCCCCTGCCTCTGAGTAGCTATGTGACCTTGGGTAAGTTACTTGACATCTCTGCGCCTCAGTTTCCTTCCTCCAAAAGCTATACTGAGAGCTGAATTGGGTTATTGCCATCATTATTACAAGCAGCCAACGGCCTGTTGAACCTCATCTCCTTCAGGTGACCCAGCGACATATTGAATGTGACCTGCCGCAAAGTAACCCACTGTCTTCTCCATCTGTCCTCCAAAGCCTTCATCTCCCATGTGTTCCTTTCCTTTTGGTGGGTGACACCACTGAAGTCCTCAAACATCCTGGGCATGACCTTCTACCCTCACCCCTGTGGCCTGTCAATCACCAAGTCCATGCATCTAGCTGCTAAACTTCTCCCTTCACCCCCTCTTCCCTGCCTCCCTGTCCAAACCCTCACTCAGGTCACCATCATCTCTCCCTTAGGTTTGCTGTATGCGCTCTGTAGTGGGTCCCTCTTGCTTTAGAGTTCAAATCCCTTAGCAAGGTTCACAAGTTCCTGTCTGGTCTGGGCTGCTCGTTTCTCCCGTCACTCCTTCCCCACCCTCGGACATCCAGCCGCTCTAAACAGGACTCCTCTTCTCACACTCACTGTGTCCTCCGGCATTTGCCTCTGCTTCCCCGTTGCCTTGAGCAGTCTTTCCCCCGTTTCCTTTCTTTGCATCACTAGCTCCTAATCTTTGGAGCCTCGTGATAAAAGCCATATCCAGGCAGCTTCTCTGACCTCTTATTGCATGCTCTCATAGCACCATGAGCTTCACCCATGCTTGGACCCCCTGCACATCAGCCTGTTTAGAAGTCCATATCCCCCAGCAGAGAGAGGAGTCATGACACTCCTGTTCATTGCAGTTTGTCTGGTGCTTGGCGCATAGTAAGTGCTCCATAAATATCTGCTGAATATTTATTCCATTCCACAGCCTTGGGACAATATGCATGCTCTATGCATGCTCTTCAATACATTATTCTACTCAACACCTACTACTGGTTATCAGCTATCCTTCCCCCACTTGTCACTCTCCTCTAAGTAATTCCCAGACCTTGCCATTGAGAAGCTCCGAGTGTAGGGGTGGAGAGGCACAAGGAAGCAGGCAATGACAGTGGGATAACAAGAGGTTATGTATGTACCAGAATCAATGGTGTGAGGATGGGGGCAGAGAGTGGATGGGCAAGACTGCCTGGAGGAATTCACTCTGAACCAAGTTTTAAAAAATAAGGAAGAGTGGGATAGGGGACAAAGGAGAGGAAAAATGCTCATGTAGTTGCCCTGACCGGTTTGGCTCAGTGGATAGAGCGCTGGCCTGCGGACTGAAGGGTCCCGGGTTCGAGTCTGGTCAAGGGCATGTACCTTGGCTGTGGGCACATCCCCAGTGGGGGGTGTGCAGGAGGCAGCTGATCGATGTTTCTCTCTCATCGATGTTTCTAACTCTCTATTCCTCTCCCTTCCTCTCTGTAAAAAAATCAATAAAATATATTTTTAAAAATGCTCGTGTATTAATGCTCTTATTCTTCTATGTGCCAAATAGCAGCCACGTAGCAACCCTGTGTTTGCCTCCACCTCCCATCAGCTCCATTTCATTAAAAGACTGTGCAGCACACTTGGGGTGCTAAGCGCTGCACCCCCTTCTCAAAACCCCTCCCATGTCTTTGCTCATCCAAATAAGCCCGGCTGGTCCCGCATGGCAAACCCTGAGTAACTGATGCTGCTAGTGTTCAGTGCGCACCTGTCTTCATTCATTATTTCTCCAGCCAAGGGCATTGACTCAGAGGAGGCGAGTCATTTGCCCAGCGTTGCACAAGGATAATTGGAAGCTCAGCGAGGAGGCAACTCCAAGGACCTGCTCTTTTCCCCACAACCTGGTGCCGGCTGCATACTTCACCTGCCTGTGCTGAAGGGTGACATGAAGGCTGACTGTTTGGTGGGGATGAGGTATGGTGTAGCAACCCCCAAATTTTGAACTTGAACATGAAGAATCTTGGGGAGACTCTTCATGGAATGTATCGTTTACCAGGAGACAAAGACACTTACTCAATAGGAACAGACAGACACAGTTTGCCTTCCATACCCTGAGGCTGTGGTTCAATGAAATGAGAAATAAATCGCACAAACAAGGAGTTACCCAGTCGCAGAGTTAGCATTCCTGAATGAAGCCACGGAGAGGGAAGCGGTTCAGAGCGGAGTACTTAAAGAACAGAGATAGAAGCACAGCATATCAAGTGGCTGTAGGAGATGCTGCCATGCTGGTACTGAAAGGGGAAAATATGGCTCTTTCTGCGAGACAGCAAGAGTGACAGACCAGACTTGCACTTCCAGTGAGGTCCCTGCCGCTCTGTGAGGAAGGGGTCAGGACGTGAAGCAGGGAGCCTCAGCAAGAGGATCTTGTCTTACGTCAGGTGGGAGGTGGCCTGCTTGCCCACTTCACTCTCCTAGTGATCCTCCTGGGTGGGTACTATGATTCCCTCCATTTTACAGGTGAGAAAACTGAGGCTCCAGAGGCTGAGGTTGCCCAAAGGGCACCAAGCTGGCATGTGCTGGCAGCCCAGCCTATGATCTCCATCGCCATGCTGCCTCCTAACCAAGACGGTGGCCTCCAGGGGCAGGAAGAGACAGAGGGGTTTCATGGTACTTGAGAGAGAGAATTGCCAGGATTTGGTGACTGGTGAGATGGTGCTGGTGAGGAAGGAGCTAAGGTTCTGGTTGGGTAACCAGTGGACCAAGCCTGGTTGGGTAACCAGTGGACCAAGCCTCCTTAGCCTATGAGACAGAATATAGTCAGGACGGGGAGATGGTTTGAGGAGAAAGGGGAGGTGATGAATTTGGCTTAGGCCAGTGATGGCGAACCTATGACACGCGTGTCAGAGGTGACACGCGAACTCATTTTTTTGGTTGATTTTTCTTTGTTAAATGGCATTTAAATATATAAAATAAATATCAAAAATATAAATCTTTGAATTACTATGGTTGTAAATATCAAAAAATTTCTATATGTGACACGGCACCAGAGTTAAGTTAGGGTTTTTCAAAATGCTGGCACGCCGAGCTCAAAAGGTTCGCCATCACTGGTTTAGGCCATATTCATTCTGATACGCTGGTTGGATTACAAAGCCGCATTTGTGTGGATTCAGGAAATAACCATAATTCATCCATCCCCTTCGCAAATATTTATTCATTGCTTAATTTGACAATGTTGTGTGCCCAGCACAATTTCCAGGCTAAAGCCCACTCCTGAGGAAGAGACCCTATTTGCCATGTTTACTTTCGATATCTTCTCTGGTATGACCTCATTCCTCCCTTCAACCTGTTGGCTCACATCGATCATCAGTTCTCAATCACAAATGACAGAGTCTGTGGCTAAAATGGCATTTCCACCACCCAAAGCCACAGATGTGTGATTGCCTGGTGTGGCAGGGTCCTTGCGTGCTAACTCAGATTCTCCACGTCACGGGAGAGCGGTCAAGAAAGATGTGGAAATTCTTATCTTTTTGCTCATCTCTTCCTACGTGCCTCCTCCCCAACAGAAAAGCTCCAGGCAGGGAAAGTCAGGGAGCCACACCTTTCACACGGGAGGAGCTGTGCTGACTGAGGAACCTGCAAATCCACTCACATGGTTTAAACTTGTGCCAGCCGCTCAGGGCTTCCACTTTGTGGTGAACCGCAGGTCAGCAAGCCGTGCATCTCACTTTACCTCTCTGAGCCTCAGTCTCCGATCTGTGAATGGGACTATGGTACCTGCTTTGCAGGGACAGTGTGGGAATTCCATAGGAAACTGTTGCAAAGTACTCGGCACATAGCTGGTCCTTCTGTCAATCATGTAGGGGTCTTGATTAGCAACCGCTTCCCATTCCAGAGATGCTTATAAATCCACCTGACCGTCTGTAAGTTCCTCTGGGTGTGCCCGTAAGTGACTTTTTGTATTTTACATAGGTATGATAAATCTCTGTGACTATGTGTCAGGTTAATTTTCTGCAAAAGAGAGATGAATTAGATTCACATCGGTGTGATTTTTTAATATAAATGTACAACATAGCTTGATTCCTCGATATTTTACATTCTATTGAAAGGACTACAAACTTCAATGAAAGTTTCTAAATATTACCCATATTCGCTAGACATGAACACACCTCATTGTACCTTCCTGTCATTGTCTGCCCACCGTTTTGTTGTGTGCTTTTTGCACTGAATAATTTCACAGATGCGTGTGTGTGTGTGTGTGTGTGTGTGTGTCTTTTAATGTCTTTGTATCAGGAAGTTCTGAGGGTTTCGTAATATTCCATTGCATTGATATGCATTGATATTCATTTGTTAAAAAAGAACTCTTCAATGCTTAATATGTCAGTCTTTGCCTGTGATCTTTTCGGGATAAAGTAAGACCCTTTCTGCGATCATGTCTGTGTCCTGGACACTGGGTGGATCTCTTTTCCTAAGTGAGGGCTACGCTCTCATTTAGATTCTCCTGCTAAAGAATCAGAGTTTGGTTTTAGAACTCAGTCTGTTTTATCCCTTCTAGACCACGTGGGTAGCCTTGTCCCATTTAAGAGGCAAAGGTAGGTCTTCGTTGTGTTTGGTCTTTCCTTTCTCATTCCTTCTGGTTCCTTTGGAGACGGTCTTGGGTGGAATTAGCAGCTGTGCTTGTTCTGAATCTTGATTGAAACCGAGACCTGAAAAGAAACCTCTATTTCCCATCCCGTTTTGCTTTGACATCTCATATAACCAGTGCACCCGGGACACCCCTCCGGCATTGCCGGGGTGTGGGCGAGGGATGGCTGGAGGCACTGGCACACCCAGGCTTTGCCATTACTCTGCCATGATCCTGATTTTCCTAGGCTCTGATGTCCGTCCAGGTTTATCTCTGATGCTATGAGATGCCCCAGTGTCCTTCTGATACACTTTCTACTTTCTTATGATACTGATTCCTTCATTTAACACATCTGTATGGAGCACCAACTATTTGCCAAGCACTGTGCTAAGTGAAAAGTTGAATTGACTTCTCTTTCTGTCACAACCAAATGTCTTAACTAAGACACCCAGGTATTACTATGCTTATTTTACAGGTATGAGTGAGGGGGCCAAGGGGGCACAGGTGAGCCTAAACTGAGGGCCCTTCGCCAGTAAGGGCAGAGCTAGGAAATATACCCTGGTCTGAGCTCTTCCCACTGCAAAACATTGCATCTCTGTGAATGGTCAGCAAGTTAGAACTCTCTGGTCTAGGTGTCCTCAGGAGTGAAATCAGGCCGCCTCAGGGGTCCTGCACTCAGTGGAGGTGAAAGCAGACTGAGTCCCCTTTGTCTCCTGCTCTGTCTGAACCTCCAGGGCTGGGAAGTTACAATGGAAGGAGTGGTCCCTCTGCCTGGACCCCAAAGCAGCAGGAACTCCATCCAGGGGAACTACAAAGGGAATTTTCAAAATCTCATGTTTCCTGTAGAACTTAACAATTTAATACCTGGTACAATAAACATAATTATACATTACTTACTACTCTCTCTTCCAGTATCTGGGGGAGATAGAAAGAGAGACAGCAGCAAACACAGAGACGGAAGCAGAGAGAGCGAACTTTCAAATATCATTTGATGCCTAAATGTCACAGGCTTAAAAAATTCATCAGAATTCTCATGCATTCTTTCCCATAGGGGACTACCCTTTAAACAATGACCTTTAAAAAAAAAAAAAAAAACAACCACCAAGCAAACAAACAGCCCTGATACTGAGACATGTTTATTTTTTCTAATTCTTAAAAATCAGCCTGCACATCATACTACTGACAGGATAGATTTTGTCAGCCCAAAGTGTCACTATTTGGGGCAGTCTATCTTGGAATCTAACAGATTCTTTTGGACCACATCTATCTGGTGTGATTCAGTCCCTGGATTTTCCAAGAGGAGATGGTTTAAGTAATGATGATTTCCTGTGGTTGTAAAAATTCCATTTCACCTTCTAGCTGCCATGATTTATCTGAAGACTCAGGGTGGGAAGGTGGGAGCACAGAGTAATCTGTAGGAAAGCATATCAATTACCCTGCAGGTGCCACTTCCCCTAAGATCTCAAAGAATGGTTCAAAGCCAGTGCTTCGTAGTGGAAAGGGCATGGGCACTTGAAGTCGGTAGGAGTTCATGTCTTGGTGTTTTTACAAGCTCCCAGTGGGAGCTACAGGGCCAGACACAGCAGTCTTTCCAGATAACAGCAGGTGCTTTTGCAAGTCTTGATAAATACAAGACTTGGTAGTGTTGAACTACCAAGACTGCCAAGTCTTGAACGGCCTAGTTCTTACTAGGTAGTAAGAATTCTGCTTAAAATTGGAACTATGCACAGGTAATCTGCTAGATTATCTCTCTGCCTGTCTGTCATACACCATCTTTGTAATTAATATGAAACATGTTGATACATGGAAGTGACCTTCCCAGCTCAGACTGGCATGTAATCAGACCAGCCTGGGCCTAGTGTCAGCAGATCTGGGTGACAGAGAAGAAGGATCCAGGTGAGCTTTACACATAGACATGATTGTCTTAGTAAGGGATTCACTAATTGCCAGTGAGAAGGAATTAGAAGTTAATTATCGGAATTTTGCTCTGTGTAGTTTTATTACAAATATTCTATTCTCAGCTTTTTGCCTCTCGTCAAAAACTCAAATATAGCAGCCCTTTCTGGTATTAAGGAAAAAGTAAACTCTGTAAGTAGTTGTCCATACTTGCTGTCTCCAATTCCTTCCTTCCATTCTCTCTGGAATCCATTCTCTCTGGAATCTATTCTAATAACTCCTGTCAAGGTCCCCAGTGGTAAAGCCAAAGGTCGAGCCTCCATTCTCATTCACCTTGAACTCTCAAAAGCATTTGGCTTAGTTACTCCTTCCTTCCTGAAGCACGTTGTCTCCTTGGCTTCCGGGACACTATATTCCCCTGGTCTCTCGTGGACCTGCTCCCACCCACCATTTCTGCTTGGTGTTCTTTCTTGGTGTCTCCTCGCCTTCTTGGTACTTAAACAGTGAGGATGCCAGGTCTGCCAAAGGACCTTGTTTCTTCTAGGCCTACATCCAGTCTTTGGTGATCTGATCCAATGCTATGGCTTTAACAATCATCTCTAGGCTACACCATAAAAAAATCATCATTTTGTAGATCAAAATAGTTGAATATTGGCATTTTCACATGACTTGGACGTAATGAGTGTTCAGTAAGTATTTGTCGAATAGATGACCTGTGGGTGTAGACATGTTATGACTCAAGACAGAATAGAATCTGAAGCCTAGAGAAAGGTCTGTGTGGGGTTCTGCTTCCCCTGGTCTGGCTGGTCTGACATTACTGGCCTGATATACTGTTGGGTGCAGCACCTTCAACTCTATCCTCTTTGAGTTCACTCCTTTACCATAATCTTGCACTTCAGCACAACAGCAGACTGAAGAAGCAGAGTTTAAGGCAACTTGGGTTCAAGATCATAGACATGAATGAAGTTCATTCTGGGTCATCTACTTCCTCCTGCTAGATTATCTCTCTGGGTATCTGTCACTGGTGTGGGAGAGTAGGGCCAGATTGAGGCACCACTAGCCAGCAGCAGGTGTGGTCAAGAGTAAATAGATCGCCCTAACCAGTTTGGCTCAGTGGATAGAGCATCGGCCTGCGGACTGAAGGATCCCAGGTTCGATTCCGGTCAAGGGCATGTACCTTGGTTGTGGGCATATCCCCAGTAGTGGGTGGGCAGGAGGCCGCTGATCGATGTTTCTCTCTCATCGATGTTTCTAATTCTCTATCCCTCTCCCTTCCTCTCTGTAAAAAACCAATAAAGTATATTTTTTTTAAAAAAAGAGTAAATAGATCACAGTCCTAGATTTCTTCATTGGCCACCAAGGCCAAGGAGTAAACCCAGCAGTGGCAGTGGGGTAGCCACTGGGGATGGAGTAGGAACCAAGGGAGGGATTTTGGAGGGGAGAATGAACCACTATGTCTCAGGCTCTAAAGCATGAATAGAGCCCCATAGATCAGGGGTCTCACACCCAGCTTGCTATTTACCAGCTGTGTAACTTGGGCAAGTCCCTTAACCTCTCTAAGCTGTTTCCTTCTCTGTAAATGGAGCTGGAAGCATGACAGGGCTGTGGTGAAGATTAATGAGATAGCATACACGTTGATATATACCCGTAGGTATTAATCTTATAGTTGTATTTTCTCCTCCCAACTACTCAGTGATGTAGGTATCATCATCCCATTTCAGAGACAAGAAAATAGAGACTCAGGAAGGTTAAGTCTTGCCTACAGCCACACAGCTGGAAAGATACACCGTTGGAATATTATCCCAGATCTTTCATCCCCCTGCCACCCCCATCTCATGCTGGTTCCACTTGGACCTGGTGGGAGCTGGGAGAGAGAAGGGGGCCGAGGAGCAGCCATCCCACACCCACCTTTTTCTGCAGCAGCTCAGCTCCCTCTGTGCTGTTAGGTGGAAAGGCAGAGCAGTGCCCACAGAGGGTTTCCCTGCCCGACCTTGTTGCTAATTTTGGTTTCTGTGGCTTGGTCCTCCTTCTCAGTCACACCTACCTTGTGAAGTCCTCCTACCCCAACCACAAGCCAGGGAGACACCATTGAATGCCCCACTGGGCGGTTCTTTGCTGAGGTTTTCTAGCTCTTTCCTTTCCAGTAGTTAATATCGCCTTTTCATCCCTCCCACCCAGGGCTTGGTGAACTTCGCTTTCTCTTAATGTGGACACGAGAAAGAGAAGAAACAGCGTGGGTGGGTGACTTCCACCCGGGTTACACAGCAAAAAGTTCTCTGTGGGCAGTCAACTCCTTGGTGGCCACCTTGAGCAAAAGATGACAGAAAGACCTGGTAAAGGTCTGATAAAGACCCCAAGCCCATAATGTTCCATTCATCTTTGCTCCATGCATGTCAGAATCTCTCTCCGTGGCTGGGGAAAGGCCCACCTTTGGTTTCACAATAGAAGTTTGGATCTTTCTGGGTATCAGAACTGTCCTCCACATCC